TTCCAATTATATTGAAAAAAAAATATTACACAGAAGGGAAAACTGCTGCAATGATTTTAAATATAAAGCAGAACATGATACTAATCACATTGATAAAATGTTTTAAATATAAATAAATATTTGTAATAAAAAGAGAACAGTATTTGATTACTTGAATAAGAGGAATAAATTTTAATGTATAAAATTGTTGATATAATTTGATATTGATGAAGTAATTTTGAAAAACAAATAAGTAAAAAGAAATGAAAATATTGAAATTCATTATAGATTTCTTAACAAACAGGCATTTTATTGGCGTTTTAAAAAATCCGCCATTACAATATTATTTTCACAGTTCGTACGCAGGTACAGTATAAGTATGTACTACACAATAGCCGTACCAATTTAGGGGAAAACCTAATTGTTTAATGTCATGATGTAGCTGTGTCACTTTATGATGGTACCCTTCTTGCTATCAAGGGGTTAGTACCATTGCTTACAAACGAAAAAAATAGTTGACCGTCTCGTCGATCTATATTTGTGTTGTTAAAACCGTCTTTACAGTGAGGTAAGTATGACTACCCATTTTGTCTTTTTTGGTAAAAAAAAACTTTGACTTGGAAAAATTAAATGAAAGTTCAAATTTTTATTTTATTCTTGAAGACTTTTTGCTCTAAGTTAGCCTTTGGGACAAGATGGGGTAATGGGTGTGGGATATAATGGGATATGGGGGCAAAATTGTGAAGTGGATTCATTTATGTTTGTGAATACGTAACACCATGTTATTATTCTTCAGGTAAAACCATGGTACATATAAATACAAGAAAAATACTAGAAGAGAAGAGTAGTCGGCAAAGGCTATAATAACAGCTTTATGTAAAGAGATGGGCTATGGAAAAGCTGCTTCTGTTTACGCAGTGCCTCATTTACTTTAGAGCGTTATGTTGAGAATGAAAGAAGACTATTGTAGTGAACGAATTTTACATAGTTGTATATTTTGATCTAAGTACTATAGAATAAATTAACAATAATGTACTCGAACAATAGTTTAACTATAATTAATACATAATTTAATAATATAATAATAGTATTAGCTTACCTTAATATTTAATTGAGGAATGTAGAAAATGATAGGGAACTAGCTTAGCCCAAGCCGCCTCACCACCCTTCTTCATGATCTTGGATTCGACTACCTTTATTGTAATTGATTCCGTCATTTAAACTATCTAATTGACCTACTAACGCAGTAAGTAAGTAGGTGTTAGTTTGCAGTTTTAAATAATTAATTTAAATAACAATTATGGATACTATGTAACACTATGAGGTTACAGTTGGTTTAAACTGTACTTACAACAGAAGAAGAAATGGTAGCATACCTGAAACATATGGAAGAATGTCATTTTGGACTGACAATTGTCCATGACAATGCTTGTGTGGAGCAGAAATGTTTTTGTGTTTATTGTGATAATAATTAGCTTCCTGTATCCTCCCCATTTTTATTACCCTATCACACCAGATGGTACGATAGTTGGTTTTTCATTTATTATAAAAGTTGATTTCCCGATGACCCAAATCGTAGTTACATTAATAACACATGTGCCATTAACAAATAAGAATAATAAAACGTAATACCCGAGATAAAAATGTTCAGTCTCTCAGAGTCTCTGAAAGCGAGACCCGAGTCTCCGTCTCTCATCGAGTCTCTCTGGTGTCGCTGAGAGAGACTGTCAAAAAAACTGTTTAGCGTCTCTGAACGAGAGACTCGAGTCGCTCATAGAAAGATCCTCATTTCGTATCCAGTCTCTGAACGAGAGACTCGAATCTCTCAATAAGTGGTGTCTCGATAGACATGGTTAAAATTTTCTAAGTTCAACATATTTCAGAGATCCCAGTCTTTCTACGAGAGACTCGAGTCTCTCAATTTTTCAGTTTTATTCATTCAGTCTCTCTGTGAGAGATTCGAATCTCTGAATTAACAATTTTATCGTTCGAGGCTCTCATACAGAGACTGTGATAGATCCATAAAAACACCTAGGCAATAACTGAGAGACTGTGAGAGACGCTCTCAGAGACGCTGAAAGACTCTGAAAGACTGAAAATTTTATATAGAGTAGCTAAATTACTAAATAGTCACCTCTATCATACCCCCCATTCCCCGCTCACAAAATGGCAAATGAGTTTATCTAAAGATAAAGATAAGACGAAAATCCTTAGTTGAAGCATAGCCTCATGCCATCATTAAGGATAAAAGCCACACGCAATTATCTAACATTCATTCCGAAAACTACACAGGTATCTATCTGTCTATGGGATTCATAGTAGTCTCCCAATTCAAGGTACTTACGAATAAGTAAATGACAAATTAAGTAGGTAAACAACAAATGGAACTTATTTTTCAATATCCTTTCAAGGGTTTATGAACGAGGTTGTTGATTTGCTAAGACAAAATCACTTAAAGCTTTTCAGTATTGAGGAAACAAACAATACAATAGCAAACAGTTTTTACCCTTACTTTGACAATCATTATAATCATAAGGTCGTCAGTCTTAATTAAGACTGGTTGGACACGTTATCCACTCTTTCCTATCCTGAGCTAATCTTCGCATTTCCCTAAAACTAGAACAACCCATATCCATCTGCGAACAGTAATATAATCTGGATCTATCTCTACCCCTCCTAACTTCCGTTTCTGCCTCTAATATGTCTCTGACTAGACCTTCATACCTGAAAAGGTGTCGTACTAACCTAACTCGCCTATTTCTCATTAACTTCCAAAGAGTCCTCTGTTCTCTTACTCTTTCTAATACCTCTTCATTTCTAACCTTCTCTATCCACGGTATCCTCATCATTCGCCTGTAACACCACATTTCGAACGCTTCTAACCTTTTCTTTTCCGCCGCACCCACTGTCCATGTTTCCCATCCGCACAGCGCCGTGCTCCAAACATACACCTTTAACAACCTTTTCCGAATTTCTAAATTAACCGTTTGCGAGCATAGCAGTGACTTCTTTTTATTGAAGGCGACTCGACCCTGGGCTATCTTCTGCTTTATATCCCTACTACTCCTTCCGTCCTGACTTATCTGACTTCCTAGATACCTGAAATCGGTCACTTTTTCTAATTTTTCGTGTCCTATCCTTATATTCTCCCTTTCCTTACGTTTTCTTCCCTTGCATGCCAGTATTTTTGTTTTACATTTATTTATTTTTGTTATGTTAGCGCGGAAAGCTCGTTTTGCATGCTATGAAATAGGGAAGAAATGACCTCTTTTCAGTCGTGTTTTAGTCGGGAGGAAATGAAATTAGTCTTTTGAGCGCATGCGCTGAAATTTATGGGCATGCACAGAAATCAGTTGTTCAATGACAATATCTTTCTAACCTTTAAACCATTTACTCTTATTTCGCCAACTATCATTTTAATAACGAGCTTTCCGCACAAACATGACAAAAAATAGTATACGTACCTCGGGAAGAAACAGGGTTATCTCAGACTGCATGTTTGGCAATTCACATGTGTTTTGTCAGTTTGACAATAAAATTCAAAAAGATATTATGCACATACCTCTCTTCTTTTTATTATAATTTTGCTTGTTTACAGTTTTTTTGGAAGCTAAAGTGCTGTAAAAGTACATTTTATATGTGTACTATATAATATCGTGTATATAAGACTACATTTGTGATTCCAATTAATTAAAACAAAGTTAAATACAGTAATAATGAAATAGTTTCACTCTCAATTTTTGATGTAAAAAGAAATAATAAGTACTTTACAATGACTTTCTGAGGTAATAGTATCGTTGATACGATTGGATTTGTTTAAGAAGTTTAGTCAAATGGATTATGGCATTTTGGTCTTTTACACCTGGAATTTTCGGGGGATAATAAGAAACAACAGTAGCCGTACTTCTCTGTTTTAATTTTCTAACTTGCTCTTTCAAGGCCAAAACTTCTTTATAAAGTGCCATCACTATCTGGATCTCTTCTTCTTTGTTATTAAGACCCTTTTCCATATTGTCCAGTTGTTCTCTAGCTTCTTCTATGTTCTCTACTTCGTTTTTATCTATCTTATCAGCAAAATCTTCGTATTCCCTTAACAAAGCAATGGGTTAGTTTTATTATATATTATTGTTTATTTAAAGACTGAAAATTATTAATATACTTTTGTATAAATAAAAATAATCTTTCCTATTTGTTACTTTAACATGTCATATATTACTGTCAGTAATGGGGAAGATTTCTCTTCAAGACTTAATTTTACTATGAATTCCGGTTGGGAATGATGTCAACTAACAGCCACACCACTCTATTCTTTTCCCACCAACGAAAATCTCTAACAATTAATTACTCTACATTTTGACTTCTTTCTCAGAAAACCATATCATGGATTTATTGATATCCTCATGTGAAGAACTATTTCCTAATCATAATCAATTAGGTTGCTCTCTATTTTTGTTTTTCTTTGGTTCAAAGTTACAGCCTCTAAGAAAAAAAAAAGAAAATTGCCTGCCCTATTATCTAAAGCAGTGAATAACGTTCAGTATGATACAAATATAAAAAAAAACAAGTGTAACTCAGTACACGTGAAAGAAGTTGGCGATCTCTATACCTTTATAACGAATAAGTAATGATTGGTGAAAGAAAGAGAGAGTACGAGAATTTTCAGGATTTATGTTTTCCAACATATTTTATCTTTAGTCCACCTAAGGAGTATTACTTTAATACGTTTTTGTGTAATTGAATAACAAAAAAATGGTCAAAAAACCGTAAACTATCAATAACTGCAAGGAATTAGAATTAATACATATAATACTCACTAATCGTTGTTAAATAAACATTTAGTGTAATACACTTACTGTAATATAACTGCACAGATATAATCAAAACATTATTTAGCACTATAGTATAGTGGATATACAGCATACTGTAATATATGAGATGCCGGTCACTATGAGCGGACTGTAATACCGATATGTGCATGCGCACCTTTCTATTTTTATATACTATCGCGTCGCGAGACAAAACGTTGCAAAACGTGTCGTTTCATGGCCTTGAGATTTTACTCCCATCGAATGAACTTGAATTTGTAGAAGTTCTGAAAAAAGCTGATACATTCTTTCTGACCATAAAAAGGTAATACCTAGTCATGAGTCTAACAGAGCTGCCTGCCATAAACATCAGTGAAAAGAAAACTTAACTTCAAAAATGTCGCTATAAATAAATTATATTTAAACAACAAAAAAATAAGATTCACTACAAGAAAAAGGAAGCTTTATTGTCGGGCTGCTTATATAGGTCAAATTGCCAGAACTCTAAATCGAAAATTAAATGAACATCTAAGATTAATTGTAAAAAAAATATATAGTAGATCTTCGTTAGACTTGGAGAGGGTCGATGAGTTAATAGTCTAAGGCTATTATATCTATTATGTGTATTTCGAAGTTTACCGAAAAGCGTTAGCCAAACCTAGGATAGACAAACCATTTCGCGAAGGGGCCACAATTGACCTTTGACTACGTACTATTAATAAAATACATATCTGCATTCGGGTTCTTCAACTTCACATTAAACTGTGAATTACAGGAAATACACCATATTGGTTTTTTATTAATATTCATGATGGATTCTCACCATCTAAATGTAGATATACTTATTCAATGCATTAGTGAAGGATTTCTACCAAGTAAATGTGGATTATATTCAATGCATTAGTAAACTAATTTATCTTTGAATTAATTTCACCTGTTACAAATAACCTCAAATTAGCGAGGAAAACGACGTTTCTGCAACCTATATCTACTTTTAAGTCTGTATCGCAGGTGTACTGATGTTACCTCCTGCGTAAAACCAGGAGCCCTGGTTCGATCTCCGGCGAGGAAGTAATAGCAGCAACAGTTTTTCCTCATTAATTTGATGTTATCTATTGGGACCCGTCAAATGGGAGGAGCCTAAAAACATGGCGCCGATTAGGGAAAATTTATCGTAGTTCCTATAGTGTACCGTGCAATTTCCAAGTTTTTAAATTACGATAAAATGATAAGTATTGACACAATATGTGATTGGGCTGACACAAAGCCTCGGAAAGGAAATTTCGTTGAAGGTGAGCGTGTTTTTAATGCCAATCACATTATAAAATTCGGAAATATCAAATCCGGAAGCTAGCCTTCAAATTCCGTCAAGTTTACTGCCTACTTTTTACAAACTTCGGATTTAAAAAGTGATTCACGTTATGTAGGGTAAGGTTGGGTAAATCGTACCATAATGTAAATCGTACCACCGTTACTTTTCATATTTAGGATGAATATTGTGCTATCTTGTGTTCAAACTTAAAACCTATTATTCAATACAAATTTATGTAGATTTCGTGTTTTTTGGAATGACGGTTGTATTTACGGATATGGTGGATAATGAAAAAGGCAGTTTACGGGTGTAATATTTCCTTGTCGTGTCTAAGGCTTTATTTAATACTAGGTAAGTATAACACGATGTATTTTAGTATGCACTGATTTAATAGCAATTTATTGTCATCCACACACTAAAAGAAGATTAAAATATGCTCTACAAATGTTTTGTTCTAACTAAGAAAACAAAACGTAGAAGTCCGATAAATCGTACCGACAAACGTTGTTAAATCGTACCGGTACGATTTACCAGCCTAATACTTGTATTTATGTGTTTTTATATGAAATTAGAATTGAAAACATTTATTCTAGGGCCCAATGGTCTGTTATTTAATATTAAACTCGTTAATATTGGTTGTCTTAAAAATATCGCATTTGATTTATCAGACTGTTGTTGTAGATAGGTATAATATAAACCTGTAGTGGCAAACAAAAGGAAGTACCATCATTTGCGTTCACTAAACAAAGTAGCCAACGAAAAAAACATGCACTACGGCCGGCTAACAGTATTTGACAAGGATTGGCACATCTTATAAAATTAGAAGTTTCTCTGTGTAGAAGCTTCTCTGTTTGGGATAACACCTACAGATGTTCGTCGCCTGACATTTCAAGTTGCTGAAAAGAACTATTCCACATACATTCAACAGAGAAACAGGACTAGGTCGGAAAATTGGTTTTACATTTTTATGAAATGGCATCCCTTTTTGTCTTTGAGACTACCAGAGAAAGTATCTATTGCTAGATCTATTCGGGATTCAATAAGCAAAGCGTCTCGACCAAAAACAATTCAAATAGAACTAAACAGTAAAGATTGGTATTGCCTAATATGCGAAAATACTGCTATTGAGGATATAGTGCAGTGCCAAAATTGCAAGCTGTGGGTCCATGAAAGCTGTACAGGTTCTGGAAAATCTTTAAAAAAATATGTTTATGTTAATTGCAAATAAACATTTAGTTTCTTCCATAAAACAAGTTTTAGGTACGATTTGGAGGCATAGAGGTACGATTTACCGAATAAGTTTGTCAAATCGTACTGCTCGAAGGGTTTAAGTTTTATTAAGTTTTATATATGTTGTAAGTATTATATTTAGGTTTTCTTTTGCCTATAAGCAAAAAAAACTTCTTTTTACTCAAAAATGCTTTTACTAACACTTAATGTAACAAATTAAAATTTAAATCCATGAATTACTTAAAAATGGTACGATTTAGCCTACCTTACCCTAATTGGTGAGGTGATTCTGGGTGATTTAAGTAATATCATATCAATGACTTGCACGTGCAAAGCCGATTTAAGAGAACGTTGCAAACACATTATTGCAACTTTGTTGTATTGCAGTAGGTAGGTTCTTAACCTCAAAATACTTAGGTATATCGTATCATTAGAATTGTGTTAAATCAATTACACAGGAATAAATAATTTCTCACTATATAATTTTAGTATGATTCTAGTTTTAAACATTAAGGTTATGGCTGATGGTAAATACTTGCTGAAATATAATCATGTGCATTAAAATGACGTGAACAAATTTTTATTCCGGAATTCACTTCTTTGATACCTACTGCTTTCATCCAAGCTTCTATTAGTTTACTTTTTTCTCTAATTTTCCGAATATATTTTTTACATATATAAAACGGTTAGTTTTTATTGGAAAGTAGTTAATGTAGGTGAAGAGTGAAGATCTATGTCTGAAGTGCTATTGCAGCTTTTCACTGAACATATTAACTTTTTATTTGATTTAACTTTAGAAGAAAACTTCGTCGACTCCATCATCAAAAAATTTTTTACTTTTTTAACGTGTTTTATTATTTTAATAAACAATTTTACAATTTGCGTGCACAGTTCCTATGTAAATTTTTCCTTCATTCGAGTTATAAATTTTGCCACCAGATGGTGTATGCCCATTTGACGGATCCCAATAGTGAGTGAAATTAATTAAAAAAAAGTTATTCACTGATGCATTTAATGTAATCCTATAAAAATTGAAAGTGTCTAGTAGATTATATTAGTGGAAGTACAGTAAAAACTCTTTATTCGCGGGGTATACGTTCCATAAATATGCTGCAAATACAGAAATACAGGATATGGAATGGTAAATAGTATGGAATCATAGGGTATACGTTCTAAGGTTCCGAAAGAAACCAATATGTATCAAAACAAATTCAATGTATTGATAAATTCGCAATTAAAATTAATCGTTATAGTCAGCTTTAGGCAAGTTTAAAAGATTTAGTGATTTTTCTTGTTTTGAATTTTTAAATTAGTCCACTCGGTTACATCTTTTATAAAAGCTGTCTCGGCACGTACCAACAGTACATAGTCAAAAAAAAAACTTTTGGGTGTTTCATTCCCACCAGCCAGTAATGCTGGTGGGCGGGCAGTCCCTCCGGGCTATGCCGGAAGGTAGGGCGGAAGGCCCTCTTCAGCCTGCTTTCAGGAATCGTGGAAATGGGTGGGTGGTAGTTCGGGTCAGAAAGATGAAACGGACGAAATGAAGACAGAAGAGAATGAAAGATTATATGTGGAATATTATTGCCTCAGCATTTGCCTAAGTGATACAAGGAAACCACAGAAAACTTAGACTAAGGCAGACGGACCCGGAATCGAACCGGCGTCGTCCCGAATGCTAAGCAGTGGTCTAAACATAGTCAAAGATGCCGATACATTAAGGGGATTCAGTAGTACACGCGTCGTAGAGTAAAAACATGCTTATCGGTTCTAGATATCGTGAGTTTAATGTTTGGAACAGAGGTTTGAAATTTTGTAGTAAGATAGATAAAGCATTGTTCTAAAGCCTGTCGAGGGCCATTTTTTAATTTCTATTGAAAATACGTGTCCTACAAGAAGTATCAACTTTAAGCACTTACTTACAAGCTATTAATGACCATACTATTGAAAACTAAAAAGGTGCCGAGTTAGTGTGAACCTTTGTCTGTTACCATACAAAAAATCAGATATATATCTCGCAACGTTAAATCACAATGTTTAGAATAGAAACCCATATATTCGGAAAAATTCACAGTAGGCACGAGCGGTCTATTGCGGTCAATCCCCTTAATAAATGACACCGAAACATTTTTTGTTTACCGATTGCATCCGCAAATAATGAAATTTTAGCCGCGAATACAGGAAGTGGGTTGCAATTTTTTCACCCGCGAGTAATGAAAACGCGAATAAGGAAACCGTGAATAAGAAACTTTTACTGTATATCAAATATAATTTTCATGTTTCCTCTGTACTTATAATAGCCAAAACTAATGGTATTATTAACAACAGTCGTCAATAAAATCTTCGTGAAAGATACATAGTGTTATTTGTTTAATGTATTTATGCAATTTGTTCCACCGACCGACAAATAACTGCAGTATTTCCACTATTCGTTCTAAATTTTAAGAATAATTCCGAACTCTGTTATGTGTACATTGACTCACCTGTTCATTATTTCAAACTCGTCGTGGAGGTTTTGAAGAACCGCTTTCAAACTTTTTTCCTTTCCTTGTAAACTTGATGGAACATTTGCATCGCTTGCATTTTGTTGTTGCTGCTGCTGCTGTTGAACATACTGACATTGCATAGAGGGCGCCACTGTGTAACCTTGTGCCGTCATTATTTGCCTCATTCTGGAGGAATCGTACGACCATGCAGGTTGTTGGGATGCAGGATAGTAATGTCTCTATTATAGTATACAAAATCGAAATTAAAAGATTACATATGAAAGCATACATTGCTATTGATAAGTCTTAGTGACTATCGACAGTTTAACAGCTACTAGAGGTCAATGACGCCTTCTCGAGATAGAGATTGTAGCTAATCTGTAAGTTAACTAAAAGAAAAGGTTAGAAGCGTTCGAAATGTGGTGTTACAAGCCATTAATGGAGATACCATGGATAGAGAATGTTAGAAATAAAGAGGTATTAGAAAGAGTAGGAGAACAGAGGACTATAGAAGCCAATAAGAAATAGCCGAGCTAGGTTGGTAGGACACCTTCTCAGGCATGAAGGCCTAGTCAAAGACATATAAGACAGAAATAGGAGTTAATAGGAGTAGAACTAGACCTAGATTAGGCTACTATAAATGGTTAAGGATGTGGGATGTTCTAGTTTTAGGAAAATGCGAAGATTAGCTCAGTGGAGGTGCGTGTTCAATCATTCTAAGGACTGACGACCTTATGATGATTATGAAGTTAAATTGTAAATTAAATTCAGGATTGAATGTAAATAGTAATTCAACTTTTGATATATTATGGATATTATCTATTATTTTCTAATGCCATCTGATCTCGTCTCTTTACTTCATGTATCATTTGATTGGATTGAGCAAACATATTACCGTCACGCATAATTTGATCAATATCTCATAGAATATTAACATTAAGATCTCAATCACTGCTTAAACGATTACTTACTGCTTCAGTTGGATCAATAATAAATAATTGACCAAAGCATGCAGAGCGATCTACTTGTGGATATTTGATAATAAACTTCTCATTGAACCTTGAAACAATAAGAGTTAGGACGTCGTGATCGAAGAATGTGTATTAAATTTTGTGTGAAAAACAAAATTAAGTGCGCGGTCGCATTCCGAATGTTGACTGTGACATGGTGAAACTACATGGAATCGAAGCAACGTTTATCATTGGTACAAAATGTTCCCGAGGGCCGAGAAGATGTGAACGACGAAGAACGTGCAGCACGCCGGAGTACGTCAACAGTACGAAGTACGAAGAAATTGATGAAGTGAAGAAAATAGTATTGGCCAATCGTCGAATCACCATTAGAGAAGTTGATGAGGACCTAAACATATCGATTGACTCCTGCCATTCGCTTTTTACCAATGATTTGGGAATGAGACGGGTCGCCGCGAAATTCGTACCAAAATTGATCAATTTCGACCAAAAACAGCATCGCATTAATATTGCTAAGGATCTGTTGGACCCAAATTTGCTCCAGAGGGTCATAACTAGTGATGAATCATGGCATCATGGTTATGACAAGGAAACCAAAGCTTAATCATCCCAATGGAAACTGCCCCACGAGCCGAGACCGAAAAGAGCACGAAAAGTTAGGTCGAATGTGAAGGATTTGCTTACAGTTTTCGTCAACTGCAGGGGCGTGCTGCATCATGAATTCTTGCTACAGGGTAAAACGGTCAATAAGGAATATTACCTGTAAGTAATGCGCAATTAGCGCGAAGCAATCCGCCCGGATTTGTGCAGAACAAGAACTGGCTTTTGCACCATGATAACGCCCCTGCTCGCACATCGTTGCTTGTGAACGAATTTTAGGTCAAAAACAACACACTAATAATGCCACAGCCTCCGTATTCCCCACATCTGCCCCCGTGTGACTTTTTCTTGTTCCCGAAACTGAAGAGGTGCATGAAAGGACAACGCTACGCTCCTACATACAAGGTTTGTCCGGGAAGTAATAGGACTGATTTCCTTCCGCCGCGACTGTACTTCGGAGCGTGCGCGCACCGTCTGGATTCGGTAGAGGGCATTCCTAGCTAACGAACGGCTTTTTCGCGTGACGTGTTTGTGTGAGTGGTGCAAGCCGAAAATGAGCGTTCGTTAGAGCAGAGGTATGCGATTAAATTCTGTGTGAAATTCGGTAAATTTGCGACAGAGACGTTTGATATGATCAAGCAGGCTTACCCAGATGTTTCTTTAGCAAGGAGTGGTGTGTTTCGGTGGCACCAGGACTTTTCAGAGGGCCGTGAAGAGGTCACCGATGAAGACCGTGCTGGAAGACCTTCGACTTCGACAAACACCGACAATGTGACTCGTGTGCGCGAAGTTTTAAACTCAGACAGTTGACTAAGTATTCGTTTAATTGCCCAGATATAAAACTTACAAAAATCTGCGGTTCATGACATTGTGACAGAGCATTTGAACATGCGCAAGGTGTGCGCGAAGATGGTCCCAAAAGTGCTCACTGACGACCAGAAATTGCGGCGAGTGGAAGTGTGCCAAAAAAATTTAAACATGTGTGAAAGTGACCCCCAATTTTTGAATAACGTAATCACAGGTGACGAGTCATGGATCTTTGAGTATGATCCCGAGACAAAGAGGCAATCTTCCGAGTGGCACACGCCGTCGTCTTCTCGCCCAAAAAAGGGAAGAATGAGCAAATCCAAAGTGAAAACGATGCTCATTGTCTTTTTTGTCATGAATGGCATCGTCCACCATGAATTTGTTCCTCCTGGACAAATCGTCAACGCCAAGTTTTACGTGGCTCCCCCACTCATACCGCCTTTCTTGTGGACAGCTACCTGACCAAGGCCGGCATCCCAACGCTTCCGCAGTCGCCCTACAGACCAGATGTGCCCCCCCGGACTTTCTTTGTTTGCTCGCCTGAAAAGGCCGATGAAAGGCAAGCATTTTGAGACTACAGAGGGGATCTAAGCAGCATGCACCGCGGCTCTTAAGGCTATTTCGGAGAATGCCTTCCGTGACGCCTTCAATGCTTGGAAATCGCGCTGGCAGCGCTGCAGAAGGAGCCTATTTTGAAAGTTTTTAAAGAATTGTAACGATTGGCTCAATATTTTTTTTTAAATCGACTCAGTCCTATTACTTTCCGGACGAACCCTGTAAGTGATAGAAAACTTACCTGATTTGATGAATCTATTGACTCGTAAGTTGCAGTACTATGGAACTTCTGTAAAGGTAAACTGCTGTTAAATTCTGCAGTTTTTTGGGGCAGACATGTGCATCGACTATTTCTACTTGAGTCTATAGTCCAACAAGTTTCAGGATAATGACTCTGAAAATAATAATCTAATTCACATCTTGACGTAATATCTTAAAAATAAAAACCAGCCGACATTAAATTTTCCTCAAAAATTGTTTAGGTTAATACTTTTAAAAAGATTGACTATATGCCCTGACATTGAATTTTATTTAAAATGGAGAAGATATTGTTTTAGCAGGGTGCGCCGTTTTTGGTCATTGTTAATAATAACATAATTAATAATTAGTAGTACCCCTTCGCTTGCTGCCATATACATAGCATTTCCAGTATTCCTTGCATCTCCCTGTCCCGCATCCATAAAGGTATCACCCATTATTTCATCAGGTAATTCTTTAGCCAATTCGCATAGCTTGTGATAGTTAATGGTGTCTTTCATCATGGGGCACTGAGCTTTTCCACAACTGATAAAACAAAACGTTGTAATCATAGTATTAGCTGAGATTATTTTTCTACCAAAATAACATAATTGTTTCATTAAATACTTGTTTATATTTGAGGTGATTGTTAATAGAGTAAAATATCAGGTTGTACAATGGGTAAAAGCACACGGTGCTTATGAATAGTGTGTTTTTTCATCAGACACCGAAGTATTACCTGGTGAACCCCCCACCTGAAATTTGGCAGAAAATAGAAATACTAGACCATCTCGAAAAGTTTTTATTAATTTTTGTACTTTCACTGCGTGGTTACAACATTTGGAAACGATCTTGGATCATATCTTCTGAATAGTGGTTCTTATGATTACTGGATTTGGCTAAGAGTGTAAAAACTCAAAAGCTTTTTTAATGACGCGAATTGTGAACGCGTTACTCTTAAAATAATTAAAGTTAAAGTATTGGTTTCCACAACGTTGGTATCTGAAAACATTACGTTAAGAAAGTGATAAAATACGTCAAACGAAGTAGTTGCTAATTAAACTGTTTTAGGTTGGTTACGATTTACATGCGTCCCATATTAACCATTGGAGGAGGTCAGTGTGTCACTGTAGAATAGTTGTTACAATTATGTGACATGATAGTCATGTATTCGAGGGTTTGACCTATATCGTCGCCGTAAATTCTTGATTTTATAGAAGACAACCCCCAAAATTGTACACGCGAATTAGCAGGGAAGTTTCCCCTCCTCCCCTTCATGCGACGATGTGGCAAATTTTAAAGGAACAGTTGTTGCATCCTTATCATTTGCAACAAGTGTAATCCTTGTTTTAAATTAATTCATTGTTAGTGGTTTCGAAAGAAAAGTCAAGCCACGCTTAATTTTTTTCCGTAAGGTGTTGTTTACAGACATGTTGCTCAGTGGTGTTGTGCTAATTTTTTTTTTACCGGAACGCGTATATATAATTATATAGACAGGGCCGATCCTGGGTAGGCGGCCGCTCTGTGCGGTCTCATGTCCCAAATTTGACGACGACGGGGGGGGGGGTTTCCCCCAATTTTCACCCGTTGCCAGAATCAGCCCTGTTTACGGTTCGGAAAAACAAGCCGGTTCGTTCCGGCTTTTGTTCCGGTTCGGGTTCGGTTCAAACCCTTCTTTATAATAATACATATAAAAATTCGTCAAAAATTAGAAAAAAAATCAGCAATTCTTTTTAATTTTTTTTTTTCAATACGTCAGCCAATTCTCGTTATCAGAAATCATCTTTAGTTCCGGAACGCGTTCCTGTCCAAAAAGGAGGAAGTACCGGAACGACGTTCCGGAGCGTTCCGGCTCGACAACACCACTGATGTTGCTTCACATGGCACGGAATTTTGAATTTTCACAATAGTTACCATTGGTGTGACGCAAATCCGCATGTCGTACATCCTTCGCGATTTTAACACTGTTTTTCGAGATAGACTACTGAATGTACTTGAGGATGTACCGTTGCAACTGTGTGGGTGTTATGTTATTTAAGATGATGACGCAAGAGAAGTGCTTGTGTTTCCTGATAAGCAGTTTCGTGGATGGTGGATTGGATTCTTTGTATGGGAAGGCATGCAACAGCGAGTGTACCAAACCCCAGTGCGCAACTGTAATGCTCTAAACGATCGTGCAATGATCGCTGCAAATGAAATACGCCAAATAAATGTAGGACTTTTTTTGAGTTACTCAGAAATAATATTGATAAACGTCTGTAAATCTATCTTCTTGCACGGGGTTCTAATTTCAAACAATTTTTGTAGTGCACGCATGCGTGTAGGTATATATAGTGGTATTGTTCCTGGAATCAATATGTAAACGATATGTTCACTGACAAACAAAAATCACCATTTAATTAATTTTTTCTAGTGGCATAATAGTGCTATTGGAGAATCACCCACAAGAGGGATAACGCGCCTAGTAATATTTCAGTGGTGGTGTGGAAATTTGTCTTAATAAAATTACGATTATCCTAATGATATTCATACTTCGAATATAGTTATTGCAATGATTGTGCCATTAATATAAGAACAAAGGCTTTCACGGCCGGAATCCATAGTAGAATGAAGATTCGGGCTATAGAGCCGTGGTCTAAGTGAACTATTCTGTCCAGACGTTTCGTCAACTGCTGGGTCCCCAGTAGGGTTGCCACATTTTACAGGCTTTACATAAAGTATTTCTCGACTAAATGGTTCAAAAAAAAGTACTCAGCATAAAAATAAAGTATTTTATTTTGTTTTTAAAAACGTATTTTTTGTTACACCTAGCAGCCAGTAACAAATTGCTGTCGCTCTTAAATACATTAATAGCCTCTAAACATGGCAAACAAAGATTTAAGTAAACTAAAAGTTCATTTTTAATTAGTTTTAATGAAGCTTTATTCATGTCGTCCCGCCACTTTGCGTTCATAACAGAGAATACTCTTTATGTAAATGCTGAAATGGCCGGAACGGACAGCAAAAGTGACACTACCTTGAACAGATTGGGGAAATCAGGTTGTTCCGTAAATATGGCTTGCTATTTTTTCTGTGCAATATTATTGATGTAAAAATACCCTGAATTTCGAACAACCGCTTACAAAATTACGATGTTTACTTAAGGCCTTAAATAAAGTATTTTTGCGTACTTTATGTGTCTTGCAAAGTATAACGTAGGCACAGTCGAAATAGAGTACAATACTTTATAATAAAGTACGGGTGGCAACCCTAGTCCCCAGTCGCTGTCGAGACTTCGAGATATAATCTACGTTCACGTTGTCAACACAGCACTACCACTGAGGATGTCAGCCGCACTAGCTGACGAAACGTCTGGACAGAATAGTTCACTTAGACCACGGCCCTATAGCCCGAATCTTCACTCTACTATTGCACCATTAAATTGGTCAGTATGGTATAAATCTTTCTTGTTGTTCTCTATAGATACTTCTTTCGTTGAAGAAATTATTAATACGTCAAAATTAACTGATTCTGGCATTAAGTATGTAAGTAATCATTTAAATTAATTAAAAGTGAATTAATTCTTCTACTTTGAAAAGAATTAATATTGTGTACTTACTGCATCCTATTTAGAATTTTATCAACTTCTAGAATATACTACTAGTGTTGCTTTATGGCATGTGATAGGTGATAGAAATATATTTCACATTATTACACTTACCCTATTCGTGAACTTAAGGTTGTCATTAGTGTGGATAATGGGCTGTTATTTAATTTTCCAGCAGCTAATCCAATATTGTGCGCCAGGGTCGGCGATATTCCTGACAGCGGCTGTCTCGTTTTCATGATGCTCATTACTTGTTGAATATTGAGACCAATATTGTGACTAGGACTGGTCGATTTGGCTGGACAAAAAGGTATAGATCGCACGTCAAAGCTGCGCCAGTAGTTTTTATCCACTTGCTTCATCTTTGACGCAATGGTAGGCAATTCATATCTCTTCACGATACAAGATTCGTTACTGTGAACTCTGGGAGTAGCTGGTTCCACGTAATTGTTCCCGTCGTCTTTACAATCTTCCTGACCATCGTTATTGTAAGATTGAGTCTGATTGACTTCGATATCTAATGGTGGAACTGTTTGACAGGTTCTGGTCTGCTTTATGCAGGTGGTGCTACCTTCGGAATCGCTCTCTTTCACCGCGCTGTTGTGAAACAATTCTACCAAATTTTGACTTTTAGAAGAACTGTTCAATATCTGCGTTTTAGAACTCATTGTTGTCTTCGATCGAATAATACGTCGTGTAGGTCTTGTAGATTTCCTAGAATCGACAGTTTTAGCCTGCGTTGGAGGAGGTTTGCTTCGAGTTTTGGTTTGTGACGTTCCTGATTTTGTAATATTCTTTTTATTGTCGTTATTCATAACCGTTGACCCCAGTACTTGGATATTGCTCGAGATAACGCTGGTACTGGATTCTTTTGGTTTTATCAATTTGTTTTTGTACACCTTCTTGAATTTTTTAGATTTTATGCTTACAACAGAAGGCCTTTTCTTGTGAATGTCATGAATCCTTTCAATTGACGTGTCTTCTGATGCGTCACTTCTGGTGCCTCTTTTTACAGATTTCTGAGTTCCATGAGTTGCGCTATCTATAGTGAAATGAATATACTATAGCGATTTATAAAATAAACAGCAGCCCACAGTTGAGAAGGTAATCTTACGTTATTCAATACCGAGTGAAGAGAAAAAAAAGGACAGACAAACACACGAGTGATCCCATAAGGGTTCCGTTTTTCATTCGGACGTACGGAACCCTAACCAACGTAATATTGTAGTTGAAAAAAAATGTCTTCTCACACATTCAAACTGCAAACAAAAATTTGTACGAGCAATATTGTTTCATTGAGAAATTTGCCACGTTAAATAATTTTATTTATTTTATATACAACAAATTCTTTCATTTGATATGTGACACGGTACAGTTTACAAAACCTTTTTTTTTATTTCCTATTGGCCCTCAAAAATGAACCCATGTTCAAAATTAATTTATTTACGTTATGCGATCGTCCTTGGGTCATTGAAATTCATATTTATTGAGAAATATTTAATAGAAAAAGACAACAAAGAATGATTAGGAATGGAGTAGGAAAAATGAAAAGAAGGAAAGAAAAGAAATACAAAACAGATTGCAAAATAGAAATTGAACAGTTTAACAAAAGAGTAGACGTTGAGGTGGAAGCAGAGGAAGCATGGAAAGTGAAGAAAAATCTATATAGGGTAAAAATAACAATAATTTGAAGAGGAAATGAAGGTATTAAGAAAGAGTAATTTTTTGAAAACATTAGATGTTAGAAAATTAAAAGGGTTAAGGGTAATGAGACAGCCATGTCGTTGCTCTTTTTACAGACAATATAAAAGCAATTACATGGAACATAGCTGGGCTTGAAAACAAGAAAAAAGATTCTTGGGAAACATAACCGCTATGAGATAATATAATAAGTTAAATGAAACGTGGTTTACAAGGACTTTAAAAGAAGGTTTCTCATCGTTACTGTTTAATGTATTTGTCAAGTAAACAACAAATTCTCATATTCGGTTTTTTAAATTATGCAAAAATTTGAATACTTTTACGCCAGTACTTGAAAAGTGCGCGTGCACAAGAAATGATTGCAACTTACTTTGAATATTAGCTTCAACAGATGCATCTCTGCGATATACGAGTGGTACTGGCTCGGGTTCCACCTCATGAATATGTGAATGAAGCTCTGAGAGACGATTTACTGAATCCGTTATACCTGAATCAATACAATGGATACTTTAACCAATAACCAATACTAATTCGTCAATAGTTTAAGAAAAGTATGGACCCGTGCATCCCAATTTTCGAAAATTCGCAACAAAGTTTTGGACATTACCGAATTGGACAACAGTCAGCAGCATAATGTCTTACTGCCCTCTACGAAATCTTAGAATGCAGCGTACATATAGTAACGAAAACATCTACAACTAGTATAGCAATAATATCAAAACGTTGAGATACTTTTATTATTCTTGAGAAAATTGTTAGAGTTAGCCTCTACTATATGAAAGTTGAGCATATTGATATTTGGTAAAAAACACACTTTTTTTGAAAACATTCACTTAATTTTTATTAAATTCTTAACAAGTTTCGTCCTACAAGGTCATCTTCAGAAGAAGGATCAATTAATAAATAAGTGTGTTTTTTACCAAATATCATTACTTTTATTGCATTTGTATATGTTACCGAAAATGTATGAAATCCATCATTGTATACAGTTCCCAGGAAATATATATAATTTCTAAAATCGCCTGGAAATGAGTGAAATAAACTATATTAGACACATTTCCTAGGAAATCTACACATTTCCTAAATAGCAATCGGAAATGTATTACAGATAATACTAAATAGGCAATAATACAGCAGGCTGTTTGGAGATGTACCTACATCCATTGGTGACATCATTGTTTGGTTAGGGAGGTTCATGACAGACTGGAGTTTCTTAATGCCCCTGCCCCGATATGTCAGATGTTAAATGTGACGAGGTTATCTTTGTGGAGATAAAATGATGCATACTCCTCGAAGACATTATTCCAACACATCAGTCTGCCTCCGGCGGGCAGGGACGTTAAAGAACCTCCAGTCTGTCATAAATCTACCTAATAATAATACAATAATGTCACTAATGCATAAACATCTCCAAACCTAACCTAACCAAACAATAATGTCACCAATGCATATACATCAGGCGATCGTACTAGAACCGTGTAAACACAGATAACTCTGATTCTCAGTTTACTAACGTGTTTTATTAATTTTATTCACAGAAACATTAGTTTTATGTATTTATTAGTACAATATCGGAATTTCATACAATTCCTAGGAAATGTATACATTTCTCAGGATATGTGTGTATTAAAAAATCTTTGAAACAACATTTCCTAAATAGCCTCGGAATGGTGTACATTTCCTACATTTACGGTAACATATAAATTATCTAAAAGCCTTTGATGGACTCCCGTAAATGCAATATACACGAGTCTCCGTGTTAAAGAATCATACGAAAGTAATCCTGTTGTAGGCAGGGATTTCGTAACACAAATGTGATCAAAAATTTAAGATTTAAATTTCTCTACACAGGTCACTTTACAGAAATTAGTAAGTGGTTTTTATCCGTGATTTGTATGTATTTATTATTATAAACGGGGGTGTCTTTTTTAATAAAAATTATAACTCAAGTAAATGAAATAAATAAATAAAGTTGAAACAATGTGACAAATATAACAGGTTTATAAACACATTAAAATATAATTATGAAAAAGGATCTCCGGATAAGGATTAATCTGGTGATGATTTCGACTCGTCAGAAAATAAATTAAATTCTGTCTACAATTTTTTGAAATTAAAAGCTTGCCCATAGGGGCTTTCCGATATTTTGTTTTTTTTTTCAGTTGATACTCAAAAGATAAAGGGAAGGAAAGTGTGCTAAACAAACTAAAGACAAAATATTCTAACCTTAACCTAATGCGATAAAAAGTTTGTTTATTGAAAATTGATGTGTGTCTCAGTTTTCGTTTAATTCTCGTTCATTATTTAATGACGCTTTATAAGATATCCTTTTGATATCCTTTCTCGTAAACAATTATTTTCTATACATTATTTTAATTACGTAACAAATACATAAGAATCTACGAGGGTGGATTGATAAGTTTCCGGCCTAACCAAGAGATGACGCCACTAGGCCTACCTTGAGGTGACATTCTATAGTACCATCCTTGGATAGCTTGTAGCTATAGTTTCAGCCCGATCTCCTNTTACTTTAAGAGTTCAGCAAGGAGAGTCAGTCACCGAAACATTGGCAATAAAAGTAATGTTCTTCGCCACTAGGTGACAGTAGGCAAGTTAAAATAAGTCTATATGTCTAAATTCGCGTTTTTTTAAAGTTTAAAACATTGTAAAGGTGTTTTAAACAATGAACGGCCTATTGCTATAATAATTTATGATTTTCTTCTGCAGTCTCACATTTCATATGTATTCATGCTTAATAATTCTAGGGATGACATTATTCACTTGAGTGACACAAAAGAGTATTATTAATTCACAGTTACTTTAAGAGTTCAGCAAGGAGAGTCAGTCACCGAAACATTGGCAATAAAAGTAATGTTCTTCGCCACTAGGTGACAGTAGGCAAGTTAAAATAAGTCTATATGTCTAAATTCGCGTTTTTTTAAAGTTTAAAACATTGTAAAGGTGTTTTAAACAATGAACGGCCTATTGCTATAATAATTTATGATTTTCTTCTGCAGTCTCACATTTCATATGTATTCATGCTTAATAATTCTAGGGATGACATTATTCACTTGAGTGACACAAAAGAGTATTATTAATTCACAGTTACTTTAAGAGTTCAGCAAGGAGAGTCAGTCACCGAAACATTGGCAATAAAAGTAATGTTCTTCGCCACTAGGTGACAGTAGGCAAGTTAAAATAAGTCTATATGTCTAAATTCGCGTTTTTTTAAAGTTTAAAACATTGTAAAGGTGTTTTAAACAATGAACGGCCTATTGCTATAATAATTTATGATTTTCTTCTGCAGTCTCACATTTCATATGTATTCATGCTTAATAATTCTAGGGATGACATTATTCACTTGAGTGACACAAAAGAGTATTATTAATTCACAGTTACTTTAAGAGTTCAGCAAGGAGAGTCAGTCACCGAAACATTGGCAATAAAAGTAATGTTCTTCGCCACTAGGTGACAGTAGGCAAGTTAAAATAAGTCTATATGTCTAAATTCGCGTTTTTTTAAAGTTTAAAACATTGTAAAGGTGTTTTAAACAATGAACGGCCTATTGCTATAATAATTTATGATTTTCTTCTGCAGTCTCACATTTCATATGTATTCATGCTTAATAATTCTAGGGATGACATTATTCACTTGAGTGACACAAAAGAGTATTATTAATTCACAGTTACTTTAAGAGTTCAGCAAGGAGAGTCAGTCACCGAAACATTGGCAATAAAAGTAATGTTCTTCTCCACTAGGTGACAGTAGGCAAGTTAAAATAAGTCTATATGTCTAAATTCGCGTTTTTTTAAAGTTTAAAACATTGTAAAGGTGTTTTAAACAATGAACGGCCTATTGTTATAATGATTTATGATTTTCTTCTCAATTATTTCACATTTGACACGCATTCATGCTTAATAATTCTGGGGATGACCTTTTTCACTTGAGTAACTTTAGCTTCGAGAGCCCAGTCGCTTTCATCTTGTTCGTTCCGCAATGTTAATTGCGTAGGTACTGCGTAATGTGTATGGATAGCACTAAATCTAGTATCCTTATACGTACCTTTGCATGTATGTATGTACATAAGATAATTTTTATCTCGACTGATAACGAGCGATCTGGAAATGCCTTTGTAAATGGGCTATTGCCACATATGGTCAAATGTAGCCGGGTAACGTTAATTACCTCTCCATGTCGATCGACAAATTGCTATCCAATTCGCTTCGATTATAATAATAAGTTTTCGATTCGTAACGGAATTCGGTACACCGTGTATGTGTGTGCATGCGTTCGAGTGCCACGTATGCGAGTGCGTGTTCTTTATTAAACTTACCACTCGCGTGGTCATCTAACAGTTAAGCGAACGGAAGTCACGCGTCTGGCCGCGCAATTCGTAGGGGTCACTACCACGCGCACACCTTTACTTCAAAATAAATTATCTTCGAGACTGTTATATGCCATACCAGCGGCGTTGTCAAATTTGGCAATTAAACTTTTACGCGTATAACATGTATGCATGAACAATGTTCAAAATGAGCTTTGGTATGCCTCTCTGATGAAGTGAATCAATGCTTTGAAATTTATATTCTTTTTATGGAACAAAACCTCGGACCAAGTGTTCTTTGTGTCTATATCTGGATAACACATTGAATTGAAATTGAAATGCAGAGACAAACTAATAAAATAATTCGAAATGGTCTGTATTCTGTCGAAACTGCCAGACGCGGATCGCGGTTTCGATCTTTTTGGATCTCATCAGCGCGGCGTCACAGACAGGTCCGACAGAACACAGACCAACTTTTACCTGCTGTCTTAACAGTGCGTTTTAGAAAATAGCACAAATGGTGCGGTAAACGCCATCTGTAGTACGATGCTACATTTTAGGATTACGTATTATTTCTTTTTTGATATTTTTTACTTCTTTCAAATACCTTGTACTATTTTGTTCACTAAAAGGACGAAGGACCAATTTATACATTGGAAGAAGTTTTCGAGTTTTCATATCTCACAACTATTTTCGCTAAAAGTTATGACAAGCTCGCAAATATGAGAAAATTTCAGCATTTTAGACAATTATTGTGTCGGTAAGAGAAATTCGATATCGATTTTTTGCAAGTTGCAAAAATTAAATTATTACAGGTTTTAGCCTTTTACGGTTGGTATTAGACGAAATCTTCAATGCGTTCTTTATCATGGTCAGTTGGTGAACTTTTGGAAATTTTGGTTTCTATCAGTAAGTAAGCAGTGCTAACAAAGACTTGATTAACATGAAGTATGAACGGTTATAACAAAATAGAAAATGAATTAAAATCTGATGTATACCAATGAATCTAAATTGCAAAAAAGAAAACGTTATTAAAGTATATCAATAATATAAAGCAAAAAGTTCGTACTTTTTTCTGCTTCATCAAAGCTTTGCGACTGTGGAACTTTGTTTCTGAAGTCTCCCTGTTGGTAAATTCTTTTCATAAAGTCCAACTGATTCTTCAATTTGTTGCATTTGTCTTCGGCTTGTACAAGTTGTTCCTCAATTTCTGAAAAAAATTGACAATAATCAACGACAGTTATGGAAAATACTACAAATGGTGCGATAAACGCCATCTGTAGTACGATGCTACATTTCAGGATTACGTATGCTCCAACAAGGTCCATTTAAATGTATGTATATTTACTTGCTGAAACGTATCCCGGCGTAGCTAACCTCAACGTGATAGGCACGTTACCATAATCGAATAAAATAATTCGAAGCGGTCTGTATTCTGTCGATACTGCCAGACGCGGATCACGATTTCGATCTTTTTGGATCTCATCAGCGCGTCGCAGACAGAACACTGACCAACTTTTACCTGCTGTGTTAACAGTGCGTTTTAGAAAATACCACAAATGGCGCGGTAAACGCCATCTGTAGTACGTGCTACATTTTAGAATTACGTATGCTCCAACAAGGTCCATTTAAATATATGAATATCGACTTACTGAAACGAATCCCGGCGTAGCTAACCTCAACGTGATAGGCACGTTACCATAATCGAATAAAATAATTCGAAGTGGTCTGTATTCTGTCGAAACTGCCAGACGCGGATCGCGATTTCGATCTTTTTGGATCTCATC